GTTAATCAACTCTCTTTCAGAAAATAGCCTAAACCAATATGTCCAAAGGAAAGAAAATCAGTAGATTGTACGTATATCTGCATTCTGATTTTCTTATGGCACTATTCACAAACATCAAGATACAAAATCAACCTAAGTATCAATGAATTAATGAATAGAGATATGTGGTGTATTTACACAGTGGAATACTATTTAGTCATTAAAGAAAATAAAATCTCATCACCTTCAGCAAGGAGGATGAGCTTGAATGATATTATGTTAAATGAAATCAACCAGAAACAGAAATATTCCATTTTTTCACTAATGTGTGGAATCTAAAAAAGTTTATTTCATAACAGTAGAGAGTAGAAAAATTGTTACCAGGAGCTGGAAAAATGGAAGAAGTGGGAAATAGGTTGATAATGCTTAACAAATACAAAATTACAGTTGATAAGTGGATTAAGTTCTAGTGTTTTTATAACATAGTAGAGTAACTTTAGTTAACAACAATACAGCTAAAATAGCCAAAAGAGAGACTGTTAAATGTTTCCATCACAAAGTAATGATAAATGTTTGAGATAATGGATGTACTAATTACCCTGATCTGCTCATATTTATAATCTGAAAATTCACACTGGACTTCATAAATATGTCCATAAAAGAAAATATACCATCTTCAAATTCAGTAGATAATGGCAATTTTTTCTGCTACTTAAATTCCTACCAAGTGTGTAAGATCTCCCATTTGTTAATATTTTCAAAATTCATACATGTTGCTGGTCTAACGTGTATAAAATAATATGTAATTTTTAAGAGAGATTTTTTGCTATAGGTATGTGTACTCACTAGAGAGACAGAGACAGAAAGTAAGAAATCACCCCCCGGGGGGATGGCTACACTGTAATCCATCCTCCTCCATTCTCCTCTTCAGATTTTGGTCATACAGTCACATACACCCAGCATGAGGTTTTAAGCTGCCAGGTCTGAGACTTGAACCTTGATCAACTAAGTGGGAGTCTGGTGACATAACCATTATGCCACCTGTTGGTGCCAAAACCACATGTAATTTCAACTCACTTTTTTTTTTTTTTTTGCACATAAATAAAGGATTTATTTTAAGTGTTTTAAGGATAGGACAGAGTTACATCATAACTATAAAAATTACTTACAAAATTAACAGATTTATATTGTGTATACTTCTAAATGCAGAGAACAAGGAACTGTATACACATTGTATAAAATAAAATTTAAATTTAAAATGAATTCAAGCTTGAAAAATGAGGTCATTTGCCTAATTTTAAAACGTGAATACAAAGACCTCTGAATGTGACACATTCTTCCCAGCTGCACTACTGCTGCAGAATACAGAATGCAGCATTTCCCAGAAACCACAGACGTGTGGACCAGGACTGTTTGTTATAATAATTGTTCCTGTCTTGTCTATGGAGAACTTTCTTTTCTTTTCTTTTTTTTTTTTTAAAGAAAATCTCAGCTTAAGAGTATTTTCAGGCACTACCAATTGTTAACTTCCATTTTTTTATGATTCCTTGTTAGAGTCAAAGTCAACAAATAATTATTTATTACTTACTATATTCTAGGTACTATTCTAAACACCTGAGATACATCAGCAAACACTAAGGAGGAAAACCATGCATTTTCAAGGCTAACATTCTACTAGGAAAAACAACAATAAACATTAAGTTATATATAGCATGTAAGAAGATGACCTGTGCTATGAAAAAGATGGAGTAAGGTAATGGAACCCAGATTAAAATTTGTGTTTATTGATCATTTGGCCTATCATTTGTGCAAATTGACTGTTTACATTTTTTGTCCAGTTTTCTGTGGAGCTTCTCTTTTTCTTATTGATTATATTATTTATTTCATTCACTGTAACTATACTAGTTTGTATCAAATCTTATTTTCCTTTCATTTATGTTGACTTTTACAGTTAGGAAGTTCTATATTTTACTCTAATAAGATTGACTAAATTTTACTTCACCAGCAGTCTTTAGCATAGAGGTTAAGGGAGCTAGATCACACATGGCCAACTGTGGTTCAAATTGTGACTCTAACAGCTTGAAGAAAAAAAAAAAACACTAGGCTCATGTGTGTGCATGCCCAAAATTTTGACTGGATAGAGAAATTGAGAAGAAACCATGGCATGACTGCACCATATTGGGGGGGGTGGGGGTGCTTTCTTCCTCTCTCTCTTTCTGTCCCATTCTGGGAGTGCATACACACTTCAAAATTTTTTAAAAAAATTTTTCTTCCTTCATCTGTATCCACCAGGGATATTGGTATGTAGATTTCATTTTTTGTTATGCCCCTATCTTTGGGGATTAAGGTATGGAGCCTTCACAGAAAGTGTTTGGAAGGGTTCTTTCCTTTTGGATCTTTAGAAATAGTTTAAAAAGAATTTAGATTAGTTCTTTAAAAGTTTTATAGAACTGTTGAGGATGATATGTAGAGTAATATCTATGACTTGACTGACAAGCAAAGAATATTTACTTTGAAAAACCATATTGTATGCTGTAAAGCTGTACAATGATTAAGTAAAATTAAAAGGAAACAGGAAAAAATAATATTGATTACCTTCTAAAATTATTTTATATCTGTGCAATTTTAAGGATTTTTATATAGAGAATGTGTTCTTGCAAGAGACAGAGTCAGAAAGACTAAAAGTAAGAAATCGCCCCTGGGGGAATGGCCAAGCCACAATCCCTTCTCCTTCATCCTCTTCCAGGGATTTTGGGCATGAAAGCACATGTGCCCAGAGTGATTTTCAAGCTGCTGGGTCCAGAACTCAAACAGTGGTCAGCCATTTGGGAATCCAGAACCTTAACCACCATGCTGGCTACTGCCCCTGTGCATTAAAAAAAAATCTCCCCCAATCCTGAGGTCAAAATACAAATACTCTCTTATATATTTTTAAGCATTGTATAGATGTTGCTTTTCCAGTTAGGATATTAATATTTCCCACTTGGAATTTATTTTACATGTATGATACTAGGGAAGGGTTTCAGTTTACTTTTTTGCCATAGAATAAGTAAGTAATTCAGAGTCATTTATTTAACAAAATGTTTTTTTCATTACTCATCAGAAATTTCACTTCTATTATGATTCAAGTTTTCTATGTATAAATTTGTTTCTGGGTCATTCCTCTGTTCCACTGGTATATTTGATCTCCCTTTTTCCATCCTTTCACCCCATACAGACTATTCTCCAGTTGTCAGTATAATCCTGTTAAAAATACGAGATAAATCATGTCACTTCTCTGCTATAAATATAAGAATGGCTGCCACCACTTTCAGTTAAAAGCCAAATTCCACTGTAGAATCTACAGTGCTCTAACCTATCTACTGCTCTCCATCTTTACTACTACTGAGAAATAGCCTCCTATGATTCTCTACCTCACTCAGCTCCAGTAATGATGGAATCCTCCTTATTTATTTAACTCACCCAGCCTACTCATACTTTATTACCTCAGCACTTGCTGCTCCTCCATTTGGGATGTTCTTCTCCTGCCAACAAGAGCCAATTCTTTCATTACTTTCAGGTTTTCACTCAAAAGCCAAGTCCTCAGGAAGGTCTTTCCTGGTCACCCTATCTTTCTAATTTCAGCCTCCTTCTTGGAATTTCGTTTTCCCATTCCTTGCTTTATTTTCTTCCTTCTTAACACTTGTCACTATGAAAGAAACATTTTATGTATATATTTGTATTCACTACTGTTTGTTTCCTATGTGAAAATGAAAAGGTACATGAGGGTAAGTTTTTTTCTTTTTTGGTGGGGTGGGTATTTGCTTCCGGTTTTAAGTACTATATCATCAGTATCTGTACCCAGAAGAGTGCCTGGCAGAAAGCTCACTCAAGTTGAATAAACAAAACACAAGAAAAAAATTAAAAAGTGAATGGGATCAAGGTAAGTCAAAAGGGAGCAGCTGTCCCTGGGTCTTGCCCCAAGGTCACAAGCACACATGCCTCCAGGGGACAACCATGCATTTTATTAGAGTGAAACAGGTCAGTAGGGGCTGTGGTCAACTGGAGAGAGCATTCTGAATCTAAAATGGGCTGAGCCCTTCCTCAGTCTCAGCTGCTTCTATCCTTGTTGGAATGTGGACCCTAATCCTCATGAGTTTTTGTTTTTTGTTTTCAAGAGAAACCAGAAATATGGATTTTCACTATGCAAAATGTGCCAAAATATCTACAGTATCCAATTTAAAATAGAAAAAAAAAACATAGAAAAAAAATACAAAGATCAAATAGAACATGAGAGCTTGAGAGCTGGCTGAAATTGGTCCTCGGATGGCCTGCCAGTGTTCACTGGACTAAATTTTGTGATTTACGAAAGAAAATCAATCCCTGCTATGGTGAGTTGGGCTTACCTTGTGTAATTCTTGAGGTATAAAGCCTCAAGTCATTTTGGATGTAGAGAATGAACTGGATTTACCATCTTATTTCAACTTTCAGAAACTTCTTGTCTCACCCACTGTGGATTTAGGCAATACAGGAGCCAATATCTTTGAATGAAGGGGCACTTCAGAAATAGGACTGGGAAAAGACAAGGAGGAGAGGAAGTGATGGATGCAGATCTTTTTATTGAGGTTTCCACTCTCTCTCCACCAGTCAAAACCCCTCCATGTGCACTATACAGCTGAAGGTATTAGTGATACAAGACCACAACTCTCAGCATGACTTCCCCATGGCATCTACCTCATCTGAAAAGAAACAGCCACATAAATATTTAACACAGCTCCCTGTAATCTTCGGATGGGCAAGGCTGGCTACCAGGAGGTACCTGTGAGGAGTCAGTAGCTATGAGCTTTTGAGGTGGCTACTGAATGGAGATTCTGGGGGGTGGCATGTCTTTCTTTAGGGAAGTGTTGTTTGGAGCCTTCTGAGGGTTCAGGAAGCTACTGAAAGAAGTGTGGGTAGTCAAGTATATCTCATGCCCTGGAGAGAGACAATACGTTAGTTCCCTGATGCCCCCCTTGTCTAG